GGCCCTCTGGGTATCTTGGGAAGACACCTCTAGTGGTCCCTGAGAGCCAAGGGGAAGGCCACTGCAGCAGGGCCCCACTATGCCATAGACACCCCTGCTGCCAGAACCCTGTCCCCACTATTAGGGTCAGCTCCCCAGGCCAGCATCACCCACTCCAAAAACCAGTGGGCCACTTTGGGGGCCTCCATCTGCTGCCCACATTCCCAAGAGGGGGCTCAGAGCCTTTGCTCTGGGTTCAGGCAGTTGGGGCACATGGCTGTGAATGAAAGTTCACCAACAGAGGCTTTGGAAGAAAAGAATTCTCCCTCCACCTGTCTGTACTCTGGCCCTCTCCTGCCCAATACTGACATTTTCCTTTGGGGGGTGGGAGGGAGGGGTGCAGCAATGAGCCCACCGTTCTCCTGCCTGCTAGTGGATGCTGGTTCCTGTGGCTGCTCAGCACCACGTAGGTCCCTCTCTCTCTCTGACCTGCCACGTAGGGTCAGCCTGGGACCCCTGCCCACCGCCTGCCACTTTCATGGCCTGCATTCCTACTGGAATCCTACAGGCCTTCCCCTGGCACTCCGCGCCAGCTGGACACATCACTGGCCTGCTCAGAACTTACCCAGTGCAGGGCTCACTCACCAGCCTGGCGTGACCCTGCAGTCAGCTCTGGGGAGTGGGCTCCCTGCTGGGCTTCTCAACAAGGTGTTTTTGCATGCCAGGGGCCCCTGGACAGGACAGGCCTTGCTAGTGTGTGCTGTCTCCTGGGCCCTGGCTACAGGGTGTCCATTTCCTGGGCAGGACTGTTGATGGCGTGTGCCCCCTCAGAGGCACAGGTGCCCACATCTGTGTGACTGACTGGAGACTGCAGTTGTGTCCCCAGTACCCAAGCTTGGGCGCGTTGTCACCCACCATTGCCGCACATGGCTTTACCGGACCAGAACAGAGGGGGGCTCCTGCCCGCTCACTCCCACATGCACCCCAATCACCCGCCCCTGTGGGGACACCATCTGTGTTTTATGAGAAAGCTGTGCATCTGAGGGCTTCCTGGACCCTGAGGGCCTTAAGGATTCATCCCCTGAGGTGGGTTGAGCAAGGCCTCGCAGCAGCCCCTGCTCACTCACTGTGACCTTAGCGCATGCTCCGTATCTAGGAGGCTGGTCACCCCTTGTGTGCCAGGAGTCCTGCCTCAAGGATCACCTCTCCAGAGGGCCGGCCGTTGGAGACAGACAGACAGCTTCAGGGGTTCTCAATGCCGGGCCTCTTAGCTCCACTGACATTGCTTCCCCCCTCCCCCCAAGGTGAGCTGACCTGGGTAAAGGTCCTGTCTATGAGGCTGAACCCAGCCTGAGGGAAAGAAACCCAATCTGTGTTCCATCCAGCAGAGTCTCTAATGCAAGAGCTGGGGGCCGCGCACACAGACAGGAAGGGACAGAAAGTGGCTTACTCCACCACTAACGATTTTAATGCCTTCTGGGGAAACCCCGCCCCCACAAAGTCATGATTACATTCCAGCCAAGTTTCTCAAGATGGCAGAAGAGGCATCCACTGAGGGAGCAGAGATTCCAGCCATAAACAGCAGTAAGTTTCCCATTCACTGAAACAGACTGGGGTGGGGACCCATGGCAGTCCCCAAGGCTCCCGAGAGACAAGCCTGGGCGCAGCCATTTCACTCTCAGGGTGTGTCCACACAGCCAAGGGCAATCTGCACCCCCACCATGGCAGCGCTGTGCCCAAGTGAACAACAGAGGAGCAAGCATGATGGACAGGCTGGAATAGTGTCTGGCTATGAGGGACAAGGGCCCTACAGGACACTGCACTGTGGACAAACCACTGTGTCTGGTGAGCTATTCGGATATGAGGGGGCACATACACTATAAATTTTGTAGGCTGTAGTAGCCTAGCGTAGACAGACTACTAGGTACAGAAGTAGGATAGAGGCTGAAGGGATGGCAGATTGGGGGGAGAGGGATACATCTTCAAATGCTACTGTCTGGAGGTGGGTTAGCTTACAGGGTGGGGCAGTTGAGAGAGTAGAAACCTTGTGCAACACCACTGAATTCCACACATCAACTGAGCTGAAGTGGGAATACCTACAAAGGGAGCTAAGCAGGAGGGCATGGGAGTGGAATGCCCACAGGAACACCCAGACAGGCAGAAATGTTAGGGAACACTGGGAGTGAGTTGCTGGACACAGCCTGGTACAAACAGCCCCGTACACACCGCTTCCAATACGCTGGGCCATAAAGCCAGAGGAAAGAGCAAGAGCGGAGAAGAACACAGCACAGTTCAGGAAAAGCCGGGACAGATTCATAAGGCACAAGCGCGTTAAGGCCTTGACTTCAGACGCAGCAGCAGTAGACCAGTGTCGGGGTCGCGCACGCAGCGCTCCAGCAGCTGCAGGTAGGTCAGGTTCTCGTGCGTGTTGGGGTCGAAGAAGCCCTTGGTGTCGTCCCCGGG